TATTAAAAAAAAATAAATATTATATAATTTTTAATGATAATACTATATAATAATAAAAAGATAAGTATTGATATATTAGAATAAAAAATAATTTATCTATTTTATTATATTGAAAAATCAGTTAAATTATTTTAAATTCTCAATATAAAATATAAATTTAAAGTTATTTAATATTTTTTTTTTTAATAGAAAAAAAGTATTTAAAACTCTTATCTAAATTATAAAAGTAGATAAATAAAATATTATTATATGTTCATTAAAAGTGATAAACTGTAAAGTTATCATGATTTATTTTAATTATTAATAAATGATCAAGATTTCTTCTACTTAAAATAAGCTCAAATAAAGGTTTTTTGACATTGAGATTTTAAAATGTTTATATAATAATATACTGTTAAAGTTTTAATATTATTATAAAAATATATTAATATAATTTAACATAAGATTAAATCCGAACTAGAGTTAAAATATGATAAATATATTTAATTATATAAAATAGTTTTACTGACTGCAGCATCTACTATTTCATTATCTAAAATTTCAGCTTGATCAAAACATTTATTAGATAGAGACTTATTTTGAATCAGTAGAGTCTAAGCTCAGATTCATACAGAATCTATAACTAGAGCTTATTGAACTTAGTAAAGACAGCAGACAATGTTTATGTGAGTATATCTATGTGAAGTTTTATCGCAGTTTTCTCATTATCTAAAGTCACTATGATATACTATGCATACATAGCAAAAAAATGACGTAGTACTCTTTTAATTGCTATTGCTGCAAATATTTCAGTATCAAAGATCTTAGCAGTATGACTAACAGATAGCTTTTCTTGTTTCAAGAAGTGAGTTTGTTCTCAATATAGACAATATTCTTCATCATCAACTTCTGTGCTGTATTTGAAGTCATCAGTGTATGTGATAAGATCAAAAGAAGAGACAGTGTTCTGAAGTCAGTTTCTAAAAGCTGCTGGACCGGACCTGCGGCTTGGTCAAATGCCTCAATTTCCAGTGATTTTTTCTCTCTGTTTGTTATGCCACAGGTGTCACATGAAGGTATGGACATTAAACTGGGTGTGATAGCAATCTTGACATTTTTTCTAATTCATTTGAAGCTGGAGGTATACCATCTCTGACTCCGAGGGTGCAGGGAATCAGCTGTAGCTGTGCGAACAGCTAGCTGATCATGTATTCATTTCAACCAGGTTTTAGCTGGGCACCAGCCTGTTTCTCAGAGAAGTACTGAGATAGAAGTTGTGGCAAACGGAAGTCCTGGACTTCAGTATGGCCCCATAATTAAATATTGTAGAAACTTATAGGGTGGCCCCAACTCTTCATTACCCACATATTTTTTGGGAGATTTCATGACACACCCCAAAGCAAAGCACAAAACAGTTAACTATAGCTAACTAAAAGAAAGAAAACACCTCATATGACATCGTCATGACTCGTCCCGGTTCCCGCATCCCTCCACTCATTCAACAAAGCCAACGTTTTCTCATTCTTCTCTGTGATAAAAACCTGTGTATCGTCACCTAGTCCTAATTGAATAAGAAAATTGGACATCCCCCTGCCTTGTCACTCTGACTGAGCACATCAATAATAGTGCTGCTCCTTTTCGTAATATCGCCAGGCTAGTTGTTGTCTGTTGGAACGCGTGGGATGCATTAAATTGCGAATCCTCCTTTGGGGAGGACTTAATAAGTTCACTGTACAAGGTTGCTATACGACGTATGATCGAATATTCACGTCAGTGTCGGATCGTGACCGAAGGGTCCAATCTCCTCCTTTGCAAAGTCTGTCGAAAAAGTGTCAACAAAAAAGAAATAATAATAATAATATACCAACAGCCAAAAAAAAAAGTTCTCAAAAAGATAAAATGGTTTCATTATCAAATAGATAATAATAAAACAAAAAACAAGAAACTGGAGCTTTTATTCATGAGAAATTTCCCCGATTGCTTGCCAACCACGCTTCATGTGCCTTTTTCTGTCGTTCCCAATCCTTCTTCAGTTTTTTACTTCTGCTTTTAGTAACCTCCTCTCCAGCCGCATCTTTGGTGGGAATACCATCGTCATCCCACGCACTATATTCATTGGTCCTGAACATGTCCAGGTGGCTGATTTTACCTCTCTCAGCCCTCTTAAGTGACTCTTTTTCTTTATTTTCCCTCTCGATCTGCTTTTGGTGGGCCCTGGCGGCCTTCTCCTCCCGTGCTTGGATGAGTTCTCTGGTGACGGGACGAACAAGGGCTGGCTGATTATCACGGTCTTCCAGGTAGATGCCAAGATCAAACAAGTCTATGTCACGAACGCGATCGCAAAGGGAAAGGATTTCCTTTGAAACAGAGTCGGTTTGTTTGAGAGAGGAGATTTTTGTGCAGAAGTCCGAAAGGAGGTTTTTGTATACTTCCGCTTCCTCGGGTACGTCTAACGTTTGTTTAACTACTGCAGTTCCCTTTTCAACGATCGATTTTATCGCCTCCTCTGATATGCCTGATTTCGCTCTGGCAGCTTCTCGAAGTGAATCTCGCATCGTGGACAGTGGATAGAGATACGGTTTTGAAGCATCGGGGATATCGATACCTGACCAGCCGATTTCAGCTATAACAGGTAACGCGCTACCGTTGAGACCGAATATGTTGACCATCGATGTGACCCATACCGCGGCTTCCTGGACATCCTTGACCGGTAACGTGGATTTATTGGAGATGTTGTACTTAGAGATAAGTTCTGAAATCGCATACATAGCTCCAGCGGTGTTAAATGAATCGCACAAGTTTTGATAGACGGCATCTTGGGCAGATTTAAGTGCAGTCGCTAGAGTGTCATCCGTTGAGCCTGCATCACTGTTTGTCTGTGCAACTGAGTCTCTAGCATTGATGAAGAAATTATTAGCTTTCTCCTCCCAGGCATTTCCAGCCTTGACGAGATCCTCGGTTATTTCAATTCCATCCTTCCATCCACCTAGCAGGAAAACAATACGAAGGCTTCTTGGGGTCCAATCTCCTTTGTCAAGGGCTTCTCGGATGGTAGTGAAGTTCTTGAGTGATTTTGACATTTTCGATCCCTGAATGGATAAGTGGCCCATATGAAGGAAGTAGTTGACCCAATGATCATGGGCGCAGTTTTCATGCCAATAAGCTTCACTTTGAGCCAACTCGTTGTCATGATGTGGAAACGCCAAGTCAATTCCACCAGAATGGATGTCCATCTGTTTACCAAGCTTGGCAGATGCCATGGCTGAACATTCAATGTGCCAACCAGGGCGACCATCACCCCATGGACTAGGCCAGCTAGGCTCACCAGCTTTTGATGCCTTCCACAAGGCAAAATCTGCTGGTGATCGCTTCTCTGTTGTCCTATTTATCAAGGCACCTTCTCCCTCAGCCTGAAGTTTAGTATCATTCCGATTCCACGGTTCCAATCTGGCATAACTGTTCCCTGAAGCCTCAAATGCGGTAATATCAAAATAAACGGAGCCATCGGAGGTTACATAGGCAAATTTATGCTGAACTATTCTCTCCACGAATTGTACGATCTCGGGCATGTACTCTGTTACTCTAGTAACGGCATCAGGATCTAAGACATTTAGATCGCGAATATCCTTCATAAAGCGATCCTCGTACGTTTTCGTCAACTTGGTGAAAATTGAACGATCCTCTCCGCGTATCGATGATCCATAAAGGGAATCCAGGTGTTCAAGAAGTACATCCTGGACATTCTTATAGAAAGTCTCGCTGAGGATACTTTCTTTTGAGGTAGCGATTGTTGAGAGCACATTAGCTGCGGAAGCCGCAGTCTTGATGTGCATTTTTATTTTCGCTTCATCATCTCCAGGCTTTCCACTGCCATCAAGAGCTCCACCATTCAGGATGGCCGCGTAAACTTTTTCTACCTCGTCACTATAGCGCTCCGGGGTGAGTCCAGCCTCCAGTAGTGGGAGTTTTTTCTCCAAGTAAGCTGCAAATGCTGCACGAACGGTTGAAATAACGTCGTCATCAATTGACGGGTGTGAATTCACATATTCAGTGAAAAAATGTTGCTGTCGTCCTCTTGATATAATCTAATACACAAAGCTTACACGTACACGACCGGGAACATAAATCAGCCCATGCGCCAGACTCCAAAAGCATGGGCTGAATTTCCCACGCACCTTGTCATCCACATCCGTAATATTCATAATGAATTGAACATCAAAATTGAAATAGTCACGCATTATCCGCCGGAGGATATCATTGCTGACATAGTTTCTGGCATGGCCAAGATGTGCATCGTCGTAGACTGTTGGACCGCAAGCATACCAGGTAACCTTGCGGCCGCTAGGGTCAAGGGGAACGAACGGGACTTTTGATCTAGTTAGGGAGTTGTAAATCTTCAATGGAGGCAGACGGGATGCAGATTCGGCATGCGGCTGAGGCTGGTTCCAGGGCGGTTGCTGGCGGGTAGTCGACATGGCGGTGACTCTAACTGCGGAGATGTTGAGACGGGGAGCTCTAGAGCGCTGCTGGGCCAAGTCAAAGTAGCTGGAAAAGAAAGTTCTGCGAAAGAAGATGTTCATAAATGAGAGGCGCGCAAAGACGCAGATTATAAGGATAGGGGGAAGGGAGGAGGTGAAGCGCGGGGTATAATAAGAGATAGCGGACTGGGGATTTGACTGCGGTGGCTGACTGGCCGTGACTTGCCCGATTTGATGCACCAACGCACCTGCCGCTTGACTTCCTTGATTGAAGCTTCAAAGCAGCTGAGTTAGCCCTAAACCCTATTTGGCCAAAACCATTTTTAATTTTCTATTTTACTGTCGCTAACGGCAATAGGGATTACATTAACCATAGATCAGATATGAATCTTTGATTGACACCCTTTTTTTTTTTTTTTTTTTTTTTTTTTTTTTTTTTTTAATTTTCGACATAGGAGAGCAACCCGTTTTGATGAGTTGCTTAGCATCGTATTCTCCCATCCCCCATCCCTCAATCTCTAGCATTTTGCCCTTTACCGTGCCATGGCGTCGCCGTTTCTCACCCCCGGCTCCACGGCCAAGGCAGACTCTCTCGCCGTCCTGCACTTGAAGCGCAACCTTCTGATGCCCGTAGTGCTCAGAGCTCACGATGACGAAAACCTAGGATATGACGAGGGGAAAGTGACCAACACGCGCTTCGGTTCATTTCCACACAGCACATTAATCGGTCAACCTTGGGGTTCACAGATAGTTGCGTCGAAAGTCGACACAGGTTCGCGCGGGCGCTTAACAAAGAAACAAACTACTACATTAAAAAGAAGAGCCGACGAAATAGATACTTCGGAAGTCAGTTGCGATTACGACGATGATGAGAACACGGATGCGAAACGAATAACTCCCAAGGCTGCCGTCGCAGCAGCCAGTGGATTCATTCACCTTCTTCCCCCCACCCCCGAGTCTTGGACTGCCTCCCTCCCCCACCGAACCCAAGTGGTATATACCCCCGATTACAGCTATATATTACACCGGATACGTGCCAGGCCTGGAAGCACACTTATAGAAGCAGGTGCAGGAAGCGGATCATTCACCCATGCTGCTGCTAGAGCCGTATTTAACGGATACCCCTCACAAACAGATACAGAAAGGAACAAGCGTCTGGGTAAAGTTTACAGCTTCGAATTCCATGCGCAACGGGCGATGAAAGTTCGCGAAGAGATACGCGACCATGGTCTGGAAGGTATCGTCCACGTGAACCACCGAGACGTCTATAATGAAGGATTTTTGCTCCGGGAGGCTTTTACCGGCGAATCTCCCAGAGCCAACGCTATATTCTTAGACCTCCCAGCCCCCTGGCATGCACTGAAGCATCTCGTTCGAGAACCAGCGGACGGATCACCTTCTCCCCTTGACCCGTCGTCGCCAATCCATATATGTACTTTCTCACCGTGTCTGGAACAAGTTCAGCGGACAATTAGTGCAATGCGGCAACATGACTGGATATCTATATCGATGGTTGAAATAGCGCATCGGTTTATTGAGGTGCGGAGAGAACGTTATGGGACTGAGGGTGAGAAAGGTCGGGGAACCATTCCCGGTCCTCGGGACGTGGAGGAATCGATAGAGAGGCTTCGATCCATTGAAGAGCGGGGGAAAGCTTTCCATGCCAGCCAGGGACAAAGCGAGGCGGATAGTGAGCCCGTGACTACTTCGAAAGAGGAAACTGAGAATGAGAATGAACAGGGTGGCAACGGTGCTGAAAATAACAAAGTTGTCAGTATGGTGGATATAGAAGAGAACAACAACGACCACGATAACATCACCTCCTCACTCCTATCTGGCCAATTACAATTCCAACAAACAACACCTCTGGAACCCCCAGTGCAAACCTACAAACAGGGACACGTAATCCATCGCTCCGAACCGGACCTCAAGACACACACATCATATCTTGTCTTTGCCGTTTTGCCCGTTGCATGGTCCGAAGATGAAGAGAAACGGTGTCGGGAACAATGGCCGTCTGTTGCGAAACCGGGAGCCGCAGATGGGACGACGACCGGAGCGAAGAGCAAAAAGCAGCTGAAACGGGAAGCTAAAGCTCAGAGGAAAACGACGGAGGCGGAGAGGGAGTGATTATTGAAGTATCTGGCAAATGTACTATATCTAACATGTATAGAATGAATCATGTCAAGGGAGGGCTCCTACAACCTGTTCTATTTCTCTCTCCCCTTTTTCTTTCTTTCTTTCTTTCTTTCTTTTTTTTTTTTTTTTTTTGGGGGGGGGGAGAAAGGACACGCACCCAGAAACCCAGAATCAAATGGAGAACTGACTCACTCATCAGAATTTAAAGAGTTGGTCTATTTGCTCGAAAGGCAGAGAAATCTTATCAAAAAGCCATGATTTTAATTAAAAGAGGAGCCAGAAATGAACACCAAAACCTATAAACGTCTATTTTTCATTATCGTCGTGGAAGAATCAAAACAATCCAACTACAAAGCAAGGCAAGAAGCTGATATCTCAGTTTTTCATGGTACTGGAAAGGAGAAATGATGTAGTCTAGAATAATTGTGGGCAGAAAAGGACCTCGTAGGATCGTGAAGGGAACAGTCACAAAATCAATTCGAACGGTTTTGTATCCCCAAGATGTGAGAAGTAGAGAAGCGGCCGGGATCCATTCTAAAGTGCATTTTCGCGTTTAAATTTATCCCATGCTTCGTTTAATGCGTTGAAAACAGATCCAGCAATCATTTTTTGCTCTGTGGTTGCATTCACAGGTATCTGCTCAAGTAAAAAGAGGGGAGGGAAAAATTCAGCAAAAAAGATCGCATGATTGCAGAAATAATTGAAGTGGATGGAAATGTCATAAAACGTACCTTATCTGGATGCACCTTCGCAATTCCTTTCATGTACTGGATCTTAACCTTGCTGGGCAGAATCAACTCAGACATGCTGATCTTCTTCCAACTGGCCTCTGGCCATAGAACGGTATCCAGGCTTGCTAAAAGAGCCCGCAGGTTATCCTGTTTCCCTCCCTTCCACGCTGCTATGCGTGCCTCTACAGAATCAGCAAGGGCGAATTTCTCATTATCAGCTCGGTCTGCTGCCTCGTTGGCTGCACGGAGGCGACTAACTGCCTCAGCTGGCTTGGCAGTATGTGTTTTCGTGGGCGTGGATCTAGTTGAGGGAGTTACAGGCTTCTCGAGTGGTCGTGGGCGAGTAGAAGTCGCCGGAGTTGATGTTCGTGAAGTTGGCTGAGATATACCAGCCGCCTTTTCACACCTGTTTCGTCCCTGGATGCTGGTGCTGCCACCATGGCCCGCTTCAACTGCATCTCGCCAGACCTGCGCGGCTTCCGCCCACCGTTCAAGCTGCTCTAATGCTTCAGCTTTTCTCATTAACGATTTGCCAAAAACTTTCCTCATGTCTTTGCTTGGTTCCCCGTTCCCTAGATCGATTTTTTCCGACTCGCCTTTGGACGGGCCAATGATTGAGATGGCTGTATCCGCATCTCTGATTGCTGATTTTGGTTCACCAACTTTAAGCCCTGTCAGGGCACGGTTACAGAGTAGAATAACCATGATGGGGTGGTTTTCTGGAAGCTCAGAAATGGCGGAAGAATATGATGCATGGGCAGCAGCATAATCACCCCTCCTAAAGGCTTCTGAACCCTTCTGACGATGACTGTGTGAGGACGCAAGAGCTACAGCTGAAACCTGGGGAATTTCCCGTAGCGGAGCCTTTGGATGCACAGGTAGGGGTTTGGATGGTAGGCTTTGGCTGGCCTGGGGTACGGGGGATGTTGTTGCGGGCCGTGTTGGCTGGTGAACTGGGCTGAGCTGTTCAAACAAATCAGGCTGGGATTCGGAAGCGGGAGGAGTTGCAGCTGCTTTACTTCTCCTCGCAGGGCTAATATATGCTTCTGCGGCCTGTTCCTCAGCGTGCACACGAGAGAGTCGATCTCGAGGTTCTTCTCTACTTTGTAATCGTATGTCCATTTGAAAAGCTGGTTGCGAAGATCGGCTTCGGGGAATTTGTGCTTTGGACATATCTTCCCTTCTTCTGGATGATTTGCTGGGCCGGCCCCCTGATTCAAGCAGCATCGCTTCATCTGTAAAGTTTTTCGGATTTGGAGGGGAATTTCCCCGGGATTGAGAACGTGCCTTTTCCGAGGCAGTTGAAGATTCTCGCATCCAACGCGGCTGGCCTAAATCAGCCGGTGAATTAAATTCTTGCACAACTTGCTGCACCTTTTTCGTTCCGGTCTTCCAAAGGGAATTAGCGGATTTGAAAAGGTTATTACCAAATTCAGCTGCCAATGCCGCCGCATCTTTGTCAATAGAGATTGGGCTTCTATTATCTGCGCGGCTGCTTGCAGAACGAGATAGTTCCTCGTTTTGCATCCATGCAGGGACACTGTTGTTCCGCAGTTCGGGGCGTCTACTGTCGGAAAGCCGTTCACGTTCACGGCTCCTATCGCCTAGTTCATCCTTGCCAACTCCTCTATTTCTGCTCCTCATCTTTTGCTTTGCCTCATGAGCTTGATCCAGAAGCCAACTAACTGCTGCCCGAACATCAGTCCCTGACTCGGTCACCTCAAGAGCCTCTCGGGCTTTATCCGCAGGAAATCCCATATCGACCAATTCAGCAATGTGCCTATCTATGACGGAAACGGCGGGAGACGGGCTCCTAGCGGGTTCCTTAATGACAGAAATTTCGACATCCGACTTCGACGCAGACTCAGTGGCAGGTCTGCCCAATACGCCTAGAACATCTTCATCGTCGGTTTTGGGGTAAGTTGACTGAGGCATATCCTTTGAATTAAGTTCGCGCAAACCAAATGGGTCATAGTCATCATCAGTTATTATGGAAGGGTTATTCATAGGCCACTTAACATCCTGTCCAAGCTCTAGGACTGGTGTATTATTTGAAGATCTGCTAGAACCGGGCACAGGGAAATTTGTAGATGCATCGACCGGGGCCGACGAATTGAAAGCAGCCAAAAGATCATCTTCATCAGTCGTAGTTTGACTTTGTTCCATTAATTGATCTGGAGTTGCAGGAGATTTAGATGTCTGGGGTTTGGCCAAACTGTTCCAGAATTGCGCGTTGTTCCCTCCATATTGAGCTTCTAGTTGAGCCTTTCTTTCTGCTTCCTGCTGTGCTTTCTGTTCCACCAAATGTTTTTGTTGTTCAAGGAGGGAAAGGCTTTTACCGGATGAAGCAGATTTGAATGACACTAGGTTTGCGAAGCTGTCATCTGCGGAGGTGGGTGCTGTCGAGGGCACCTTCGAGCGCACCGAAGGCCCAGCGGATAAGTAAGGAGTAGACCTCCCTGGTACAGGAGGGGTAGGCCGTAGCTGGGAAAATGCAGACGTGGGGTTCATGGGGGGTGGCCTCGTCGCCTCGGGCCCTGAAGCGGGAGTCCAGCTTAGCCCTGATAAGTCATCCATGAGGTGTTTTGACTGGCACTATATTGACTCCACAAGATTGACACTGTCAGCAAGATGCACAGCGATCACATGAAATGTTAGAGTTCTTTATGTCACTTCTTCAACTGTCAGCACGCATGGCATTGTTTGGCAAAGCTCACTATTCTGGAGTAATTTTCAGATGCTGCTAGTTGACAGGTGGTTTGCAACACATACACTGAAGTTGCCCCACGGTCACCAACAACAGATTTGTTTCTTCATGACATGTGCGCTTACCATCAATCTCCACTGCCCACGTCTATCAGGATCATCCTAGCTTGAACAGGGCAATGTGGTTCAATGTGTATATACTCCATTAAATTGTAGTAGCAGAGCTGAACAGGGAGATGGCGTCTTGTTTGGGTTTAGCGCAGTTGCCTCATAGTCATGTGATCATTATGGAAAATTAAAATTCCGATATCCGTATCATTGTTTAGTTTGGTTATTTTGGCCGAGACAACCTCGGGATGAGATTGGATGTTTGACGCCAAATAGAATCAACGCTATGCCATTCGATATGATTCACTGTTATTTCCACGAGATATCTCAGAACTACGAGTTTTGTTTGATGGAGTCAAGAATGACATCAAGGATGAACCTTGAAAATTTTCCAAGCCTGGCCAAATGCGACCATCAGCACAGGGAAGTTGTATAGAAGTTCTTCAGCCTGGATGGCACGCTTCCATTGATGCATAAAAAAAAGGCAGAGATAAGCATAAGGTTTCTATCCCCCGGATAATAGGAGGATATCTTGAGAGGCGCGAATACATTCATTTTTCGATGATAATGAAAAAAAGGCGGGGAACCTAAAGTCACACCTAGGCAGGGTCCAGCCTGACACTAGCCTTTAATCACCAAGGGTCCCAAGAGAAAGCCTTTGCAGCAGCCAATGATAAATAATCAGTATAATCCTAATAGGCAATTCAACAATGGCAGCCGTGGATTGGCTTTTCGTTTTTTCTTTGTCCCCGCATTCCAAATGCAATATGAATCGAGCAACCCAGAACTTCTACAGTAAACACCACAGCCGGGAAATTGGACGCAAGAAGCAACAAAATCAAGTTTTGATTGTGGCAGGATCCAGAGTCTTAGATGGGGCCTGTGTAAAGATCCTTCGCGCTTTGGCACCAAGACTGATAACCCACACTGTGCCCCCAGCTCCATGGTCCTGGGCAGCGTGCCGGTTGGTTGACAAGCATGTCTCGAGCCGCTGCGGAAAGGGCCCGCCAACGCGCCTAGTTAAGTTAGTGTGTAATAACTTTCCCCTACACAGTAACTAAACTTCATTTCAAAACATTAATTTTAACGAGATTAATAGTCACAATTGACACAAGATCGGGTTGAGAGAATTCTGTTTTTTTCATGTGTCAGTAGCATAACTATGCGTGGTGGCAAGGGAAAGCTACCCAATTACTCGAACCTCCTCAAGTGTCCCTTGGGCCGATTTTAATTTGGAAATAAGGAGCAAAGAATGAACAGAATATCCAGCCCTTTGTTGGGCTAGTGTATACATATGGGTACGCCGTCCTCAGTTTTGATGAGCCATCAGCACTAAATCCTGTACCACTTCCAGGTCGCATTGCCAGTTTTGGGACGACATGAAAGCTCCCGTCGCCCTCGATACGCGGCTGAGGTCCTGAGGAGGAACGGTATTTTATCCTGTTATTGACAAGAAAAGACCTGTGTTAACTCCGATAGTACACGGTCAAATTCCGGGGAAGACTTTACTTTCTCATGACAGGATTTCGCCTTGAATCCAATAGGCGTATGTGATGAAAACCATATGAGGTTGCAGATCGGCAAAACATGTTTTTATGTAACGGTGGGACCTCAGGACTAAATCTTGGTTGTAACAGCACAAGCTCCCACATAAATAAAAAACAAGTTCGGAATAGAAATAAGAATGTTCCAAAAAATGTTCTAGCAATCTTTCTTCTTGAACACAGTTAGGCCCATCCCTGCATAAAAGAGCTCTCTGCAATGATGATAAACTTCCGAAGTATTTTGAAATTTCTCCTGGGGAAAAATTCTTGCCAGGTTATTGAGAAAACCCCTGTTGTTTGGCATGTTCCTTGCAGATAGCAGTATCTTTGCTAGCATTTCCAAGCTGTTCTCTGAGGGGTCTCTGAGAGGATTTCCCTTTCAGCACGGGCTAGCAAATAATAGTTTCCTAGGGTCTTTTATGGGGCTTGCATGTGGACGACGAAGATTCTCACCATTATCTTGAATCTTTTCCCACAAACGTGATTCTTCTTGGAGCTCAAGTGATAACCCTGGAATAATAAATAGCAGACAAACTACGCATCCAGGCTGTGATTGTAGAATTGTCTAACGATGCCAAACGGTCAAATGTAGTGATTACCTCCAGAATTTCCTCTATAATGGGCGTTATTCTGTCACTGCTAGTTACCGATCCATCATCCGTCGCTTGAAAAACGGAGTGTAATCTGTAATTTGTCTTTCAACAACAGTCAGAGAAGCCATCGGAGCCAAGGGTTTGCCTGCTACTTAAGTCTCCTCAAAGCCACTTCAATAGTAGTTCAAAACTCAACAATGCTCCACAAACCAAACCAGTGTCTCTGGGAAATGCCAAAAGCATGAAAGAATTGGTTCTGGATCCCAGATTTCAAGCGGTTCCCCAGTGTTTCGGGTCCATGCGTTCCATCTGAAAGCCTGGCTGGACCAACTCGTATCAGACCTTTCCACAGAAGAACGGATTTTCTGTGCCAAAAAGTGGAAGAGTAAACTTGCAAAAACTCCGGTACACACAAAGTCAAACCTAACAGCAGCTAATTAGCTGAGCGCAAGGGTGAAGCAGAGCCAAACTGACAGCATCGTGAAACAGGTAGAAGTGAGGAAGTTGTTCATAGCTCCCTCCGCATTTTATTCTTGAGAGCTTGGGTGACTCCTACGCCTTCAAGTTCCAACGCATTGTAGCGAGGACGGTGACCAGTTTGCACAAATACTGTAAGCTATCTCCATTAGATTCTCAACTCCAGCCATCCATAGCTATGCTTTCCAAACTGAAGGTTTAAACCAGCGTCGCCCTGTCACGGATTTCCCTCGAGGCTGACAGGTCCATGCAGTATTTTGATTTCTCTGGTAGCTGGTTGTAGTTTCGAAAACTAGTAACCCTGGCTGGAGCCTGTATTTAGGTAAATCAGTCTCAGACCCCCGGGAGAGAGAGTGGTGGTTTGCTTGGAAAAAGTTGCCCATTCTTTCACAGCCGTTCCCCTCCCAACCCTCTTCCCACCAATCTCTGCCTGTGCCGACTCATCTCCCGTTTCTGCCAAACCCCTTATTTACTCCCACCACCACTCAACCTACAGATATTTCGCCGGCCTCAGATTCATTTTTTTTTTTTTTTTTTTTTTTTATTTTTTTTTTGGAATTGAAAGGGGGCCAGACTCAGAGACTCTTTAACTTTCTCTTCGATCTACAGGCATTCTGGAACGTCCCCGGCAAGTTACCGTCGGCATGGGTTTGTTTAAGCGCAAGGATTCGAAAACGTCAACAGGAAATGACAAAGATGACCGTGAGTCGTTTGTATCTACCAGCAGTGCAAGAACATCAAACGCATCGCTGAAAGTCCCCATATCCATGAAGACGGGAAATGGCGTATCTGTGCCAATCCCAGAGGTCCCAATCGCCCCGCCGCCCGACCCAAACCTTGACCCAGCAGCTTATCTGCGAAGTATCCATGCCGTTCGCCAGAGGTCGAAACTTGTTATGGACAAGGCGAAGAGGAATCAACTCAACCATTTCGACGTTGACTTCGGTAAATTTTCGGAGACGGCTTCGTACGTTGTGGCCATTATCAAGGTATCTCGGGTTGCCCTCTTTTCTACTCTCTCTTAATGGGATTCATGTTGATATATTTACGAAATCTTTCAGAGAGATTACGCCCCGGATTACCATAGCATACCTGCCCATGGCCGGTGGCAGCATTTCGACGTTGGCGGGAGACCTCGCATCAACCAGCTCCTCCAGTCATGGCCCAGCACCATTGACGCGTTTGAACGGACAAGGCGACTAATCGACCTTTTTCTTATTTCAGCCTTGTTGGATGCCGGGTCCGGGAATAAGTGGTCATATAAATCCAAAGAATCTGGGAAAATTTACAGGAGAAGCGAAGGCCTTGCGGTGGCAAGCTTGGAGATGTTTAAAGCCGGACTGTTCAGTAGCGATCCCACGGAGCCATGCCAAGTGGACGGCGCAGGTTTGAGAAAGATCACCGTGGAGCTACTTGCAAAGGGCATGCAACACTCTGAGCACAATCCATTGGCTGGACTGGAAGGCCGGGCAGGGTTGTTGATAAGGCTGTCGGAAGCGTTAAACGACCAAGAGCTTTTCGGTGTCGATGCGCGACCAGGAAATATGCTTGGTACGGCAGCCAACTCCGTCTCTCACGAAATTCGTTGTTTTAATATACTAATTTTTATCGTGTGTAGACTATCTCCTCTCTCACCCTACAACTCTCGCCTCATCCGTACCTATCATTTCTATTCCCACACTCTGGTCCGTCCTAATGGACGGCTTGTCATCTATTTGGCCTCCATCCCGCACCCAGATTGAAGGCGTGTCTCTCGGAGACGCCTGGCGCTGTTCCGCTCTACCTTCATCGCCCCCCGCGAAGCCGTGGGAGAGTATTGCTCCGTTCCACAAACTAACTCAATGGCTTTGCTACTCTCTCATGGCACCGATGACGAAAGTAATGAACATACAATTTTCCGGAACCGAACTTCTGACTGGTTTGCCAGAATACCGGAACGGAGGCCTCCTTATTGATATGGGCCTCTTAAATCTCAAACCTAAGGATGCTGAGCGGGGGCTGCAGGCGTACAGGGCCAATGCAACGATCAAAGGCCAGCCGAATGTGGAGGTTGTTCCTCTGTTCACCGCAGATGATGATGTGGTGGTGGAATGGAGGGCTCTCACAGTCGCATTCCTCGATGAACTGCTCGAGGAAGTGAACAATCTGC